GGAGGGGAGAGGGGGGGGCTGTTGGGGAGGGGAGAGGGGGGGTGCTGTTGGAGAGGGGAGAGGGGGGGCTGTTGGGGAGGGGAGAGGGGGGGGGGCTGTTGGGGAGGGGAGAGAGGGGGTGTTGGGGAGGGGAGAGGGGGGGGTGTTGGGGAGGGGAGGAGAGGGGGGGGCTGCTGGGGAGGGGGAGAGGGGGGGGGGAGCTGTTGGGGAGGGGAGAGGGGGGGGCTGGGCTGCTGGGGAGGGGAGAGGGGGGGCTGCTGGGAGAGGAGAGGAGAGGGGGGGCTGCTGGGGAGGGGAGAGGGGGGGCTGTTGGGGAGGGGAGAGGGGGGCTGTTGGGGAGGGGAGAGGGGGGGGCTGTTGGGGAGGGGGAGAGGGGGGGGCTGCTGGGGAGGGGAGAGGGGGGCGTTGGGGAGGTTGGGGGAGGGGAGGGGGCTGTTGGGGAGGGGAGAGGGGGGGGCTGTTGGGGAGGGGGAGAGGGGGGCTGCTGGGGAGGGGAGAGGGGGGGGGCTGCTGGGGAGGGGGAGAGGGGGGGCTGTTGGGGAGAGGGGAGAGGGGGGGCTGCTGGGGAGGGGAGAGGGGGGGGCTGCTGGGGGGGGGAGAGAGAGGGGGGCTGTTGGGGAGGGGAGAGGGGGGGCTGCTGGGGAGGGGAGAGGGGAGGAGGGGGGGCTGCTGGGGAGGGGAGAGGGGGGCTGCTGGGGAGGGGAGAGGGGGGGCTGCTGGGGAGGGGAGGAGAGGGGGGGGGGCTGCTGGGGAGGGGAGGGGAGGGGGGGCTGCTGGGGAGGGGAGAGGGGGGGCTGCTGGGGAGGGGACTGCTGGGGAGGGAGGGGGTGCTGTTGGGGGAGGGGAGAGGGGGGGGGTGCTGTTGGGAAGGGGGGGGTGGGCTGTTGGGGAGGGGAGAGGGGGGGACCAGTACCCTGGTGGAAGGGTGGTGTTGTGGAGAGGGGGGGGGAGGGGGTTCTGGAGAAGGGCACGTGGGTAACTGAGGTGCTGAAGGGAGAGAGGTACTCCCAGGTACCTATTTACTGCTAGGTAACAGGTGCATCAGGGTGAAGCAAAGTTTGCCCATATGTTTTTCCGGCGGTGCCGTTGATCGAACCCCGGTCCCTAGATCCACGAGTCTAGAGCGCTGTCCACTCAGCCACCAGCCTCCCCTGGTATGGGGTGAGGTAGTGATGATAGGGTGAGGAAGAGTTGAAGCTCCAGACAGAACAAGCTAAGGGTAGGGTGACCAAGTGTGAGATAGCGAGCAGGTATGGAACTAGGGTGAAGGGGGAAGAATGCTAAGGGTAGGGTGAGGAAATATAGCCAGTGGAATGGCAGGGTGAAGGGGCGAGGGGACGCTGGAACCTAAATAAGGCACCATAAATATACATATAGTATGATGCAGACATGAAAATGGGGCCGGCGGGACCCATTGAAGATACTGAGACGAGAAATGGGGAAATGTACTGCAGATATGGGAAGCTGGAGCAAGGAGAGATGGAGAGGGGAGATGGGGACACACACACACCGTGTCCCAGCAGGTCGCCAGGGGGAATGGGGTGATCCCATGAGGGAAATGGGTTATTGTTAGGGGGGGAAGGGGGAGGAGGTGACGTAAATGAAGTGACAAAGGTCGGTACAAGAGATGAGGGGAACGTAGGGTGTAGTAGGGAGATGGGGGGTGAGAGGGGAGAGGGGAATGGGGAGCCAGAGGGGCCAGGAGGGAATGGATGATGGAGGAATGGAGGGACGGTGTACAAGGGAAGAGGCCGAGAGTAGTAGTGGTGCCAGAGCCAGTGAGGAGCTCCTGTGAGAGGAAGAACGTGAGAGGGTGCTGAAGGAGGGGAGAGGAGGGGAGGGGAGGGGAGGGATGAGTGAAGGATCAAAATGTCGTACAAGAAGGGGGGGGGAGGTTCAGTTGAGTGAAATTTCATAGAGTCATCACAGAGGGGGGAGGAATGGGGGGGGGGGGGGATATGAGTGATGGGTCATTACAGAAGGTGTGAGTTAAGGGGGTTAAGTGTAACTAGCGAGGGTGGGTCGGGGTGGGCCCCATTGTTCCCACTAAAGGGGGGGGGGGCGGTTACCATGACGACCATCACAAATACGACAGAAAGTGGCTGGCTTGATCCTGAAAATTTTGATCGTGTTATGCCACTATAAAATATACAAATATAGCGTATATGGACTGATAGAGATTGGTCCAGGTCGTCTTCCGTGGCCCAACCTGTTTTGAGTGTGTATATGTCAGACGGTTATGGCTAGCCTCACACAACTTTGCAATATGATGCTTGTGAGGTTTGGGAGTGTCGTGTTAATTTTCCGATGCTCCTCCATCTCCTTCCTTCTCTTCCACCCTCACTTCATTCCCTTCTCTTCTCCATCTGACCTACAACCTCGAACAAACGGACATTTACATTGAAATCCGTGAGTAGAAGGGAACCCGGCAGTGTACGGGTCTGTGGCCTATCTCCATCCTCTTCCCACACTATTCTTCCCCTCTTTACCCCCCTACTCTATCATCTTTTCCCTCTTCTCATCTTCAACCCCCTTCTCCCTTAATCTTATATCACTGCAAACTATTTTCGCTTCATGGATTATCTTCATCATAACCATCTTCATTGCTCACTATTTTCATCATTGTAATCCGAACGAATTCAGCTCATTATTTTCGAGTAAATCATAAAAATCCGTGGTATAAACTCTACGGAAAACATATCGGCTATTGCATTTCTGTCTTCATGAAAAATACACGGGGAATGGGGTGACGAGGGTGTTAGGTTACAGGCTGATGCTTCTTAATATATTAAAATTAGAACGACCAGAACCAGCCTATGTTCGCCCTGTACTGCAGACCATTCCCCCTGCAAAGTTTGGCGAGTCTGGCCCGCCAACGTAGGACAGACATTCTCTTTCATAGTTCATCTGAAAAAAGAGATCATACATAGAGCGGCACACTCTCTAACGTCACACACTAAACGTACTTCTTGAGGAGTTTTAAGTAATGAGATTACTTGAGAGTGATGTCGCAAGTTAAGTGGCCAGGGGAGACTAATCTATAGTCACTTTGTTCACAAGGATTACAGTTCAACTCCCAGCACTCTCTCTGACTGTGGCACAGTCAGATCACCGCCGCTGAAGCTCATGTCTATCCTGAGCATTATAATTCAGAAGTACACAGACGCCTCCGCACAGGAGTACATGCGGTCGAGGTGACAATTTAGTAAGATAACAGACTTTACAAGTATCATACAAGTGACTTATGCCACTTTACAAGTGTCATAGACGGGCTGGAGGAATTGGTTTTGCTCTATATTCTTGTACTGAAGCTGGAGACGAGGAGGACCTGTAGGTTTATGTTAATTACTGACTTTTATATTATATAGTAGCACATTTTATATTATTCTATATATATATATATTATATATATATATATATAATATATATATATATATAAATATTATTAATATATATATATTATAATATTATATATATATATATATATATATTATATATATATATAATATTATTATATATAAATATATATATATAAAATATATATAATATAAACATGGGAAAATATCGCATAAACGTCTTCTCAAGTCACCTTGATCCATTGTTACAACGTCATTTGAACTGTTATTACATTGCTACAACGTTATAACAACATAACAATCTATAACAAAAAACTTCGCACTTACGACTTCCCAGACCAATTCGAGCAGAATCATGGAACAATTAACACAAATTTAGCCACAGTTAGGCACTTGCTGTGATAACATATTGATGGAAAGCTAAATCTCTCCCAATTGTGTAAGTGAAGGATCAACCAGGTTGTGACAGTGTGGAAGGAACACTGTGAAGGATCAACCAGGTTGTGACAGTGTGGAAGGAACACTGTGAAGGATCAACCAGGTTGTGACAGTGTGGAAGGAACACTGTGAAGGATCAACCAGGTTGTGACAGTGTGGAAGGAACACTGTGAAGGATCAACCAGGTTGTGACAGTGTGGAAGGAACACTGTGAAGGATCAATGAGTCGACATAGACAGGAAGTAGCAGTGTGTCGCAGGATTATGAGGTGTAGCAGCAGGAGAGTGGCATAGAATATGAGGGGAAAGAGCAGCGAATGAAGCAAGATCGAGGGGATTCATGATTTGCCGGTGGAGAGGGGAACTGGTGGCGAATATATACCCAGGAAACTCTACTCTACAACCCAACCCAGGAAACTCTACTCTACAACCCAACCCAGGAAACTCTACTCTACAACCCAACCCAGGAAACTCTACTCTACAACCCAACCCAGGAAACTCTACTCTACAACCCAACCCAGGAAACTCTACTCTACAACCCAACCCAGGAAACTCTACAACCCAACCCAGGAAACTCTACAACCCAACCCAGGAAACTCTACTCTACAACCCAACCCAGGAAACTCTACTCTACAACCCAACCCAGGAAACTCTACAACCCAACCCAGGAAACTCTACTCTACAACCCAACCCAGGAAACTCTACTCTACAACCCAACCCAGGAAACTCTACTCTACAACCCAACCCAGGAAACTCTACTCTACAACCCAACCCAGGAAACTCTACTCTACAACCCAACCCAGGAAACTCTACTCTACAACCCAACCACAGGAAACTCTACTCTACAACCCAACCCAGGAAACTCTATACTCTACAAACCAACCCAGGAAACTCTACTCTACAACCCAAACCCAGGAAAACTCTACTCTACAACCCAACCAGGAAACTCTACTCTACAGTCCAACCAAGGAACTCTACTCTACAACCCAACAACCCAGGAAACTCTACTCTACAACCCACCCCAGGAAACTCTACTCTACAACCCAACCCAGGAAACTCTACAACCCAACCCAGGAAACTCTACAACCCACCCCCGGAACTCTACTACTCTACAACCCAACCCAGGAAACTCTACTCTACATCCAACCCAGGAAACTCTACTCTACAAACCAACCCCAGAAACTCTACTCTACACCCAAACCCAGGAAACTCTACTCTACAATCCAACCCAGGAAACTCTACTCTACAACCCAACCCAGGAAACTCTACTCTACAACCCAACCCAGGAAACTCTACAACCCAACCCAGGAAACTCTACTCTACAACCCAACCCAGGAAACTCTACAACCCAACCCAGGAAACTCTAATCTACAACCCAGGAAACT